CCCATCCCTGCTGCCTCAGCAGTAACACATGCCATAGGCTGCCAATACAGTTTAGATTTTTGTAGCCTTTGGGTGCATTGGCTATTTCTGGGTTGGAATAGTTACCTAAACTTCCATAGGGCAGTGGGTATGGGAGCATTGCAATAGGCTGTGAATGCACTTTGGCACTGATTGGCTGTTTTCTGTTTACAAATTTAAATATATTGTAGAAAATAAATTAAGAATAGTCAAGGTTTGTAATTTCACTTTTTTTTTTTTAAGATCAGATTTTAAATGGTGCTGTGCCATTGTCTCAGAAGGTTGCACAAGATTTTCCTTCAAACCCCAATTTCCAAGAGCTTTCTAGTGGTTTATTTGTCCTCTTCCCCTCCCCCTCCAAACTCTGAACAAAGGTGTGAATATTCAGTTCAGTTCTCGGCTGCATCCAGATTGCCTGTGATCAGATTGGTTCCCTGTTGTAACTACAAATGAGAATTGATATGGAAAATGTTAATAAATACATTAAACAATCCTGAGGTGCTCCAAACCTAGTGCAGTAGGAACGGTAAGCAGATCGGTGCAAACATCTCTGGGAAAAAGGAAAGAACAACAAATGAAGAAATAGTAGAGTAGGAAAAATACTACTTTAATTGAATTGGAATTATTAGAATATGTATGTATACTTCTGTAAACCGTTTTGAACTTTGCAGTAGCTCAGAAATAGGGCACGGTTAATTTTTTTTTTTAACCTGTACTCTTTTTGTCTATATTTCTTTTCCCTCTCTGAAATATAAAAATTGTAATGTTTTTGCGCTCTCCTTTGTTTAACAGTTTTCTGCTTGGCCAAAACTGTGATGGCATCGTATTCAGCACTGATGATTATTTTCGTCAGCAAGATGGATATACATATAATGCTGCTCAGCTTGGTGATGCCCATGACTGGAATCAGAAGAGAGGTGTGAATGCATAAAAGGAAACTTGACATAATGTGTAGATGTGTTAACAATATATATGAAATGGCATAGTGTATAATTAGTATGCAGGGTTTTTTTTGCGTTAGATTTTGTACTTTAGTTAAAGATTCAGATTTAAAAGGACAAAATCTTTCTTTGTGCTATTTTACATTTGATAGTTGCATCTTGATGACAGTAATGAACCTTTTTAACACTCACAACAACAGAGTATCTCATTTTTTCCAGTATCTTTCCTGATCGGAGATTCATCCAAAATTCATGGAAATGTTTTTTTGAGGAAAATTTCAGTTCGCTTTATGTAGGTTAATGACTTCTCTAATACCTAGCAGTGCCTAAAGGTTGGATTTAATTGGGAAATAGGTGGATATTGACTGTTTTTTCAGCTTCACTTTCCCTATTGGTACAGCTGCTTGTGCTTGTGCAGGTTTGAGAGAGACACCTGGGGTGAGAAGGACTGGAAACAAATAAAAGACTGGTTCTCACTCTCTAGCAATTTTCTGAGAATCTCTTTGGATGTTTGGTCAGCTCTAAGGACTGGGCAAGCAGAGCAAGTCCGTTGACTGTACATGCAGATCCCTCTCTCTGCTCCAGTATCTCAAGTGGAAGTTTCCTTTCCATCTAGAGGAATCCTTCTCCACATCAAAAAATATGGAGGGCCAAGGAAAAAAATGGCAGCAGAGAAATTATGAATATTCTTCCTTCTTCTCCCCTCCCCAGCCTAATACAAAATGTTAATACATTGGGCAACATTGGAAAGAAAGACTAATATGAAATACTTGATCTCTGAATGAAGAATGAAAGAGTTTTTTTAGAGTAATCGTTAGAATATTAATTATAAAAAGATTTTTTGCGGTTGGAGTGCAGCAATAATAAACATTTCACACAAAATTGCCTGTAAGAGCCTAAGGAACAGAAGAGTTGATAAGGTAGCAGTTTGTGGATGAGAGGGCTCAACGCTTAACAAATATAAGGCCATCAAGCAGTTTTCACACGGTAATAATGGCTTCTTGCTGTTTCTGGCTAGACCTCAAAATGAAGATCTCTCTCATTCGATATCATTTATTTATTCAGTGTTTTTGATAGCCAAAACAAGAACAGTTGTTTATTGTGGTTATTCCAACACCCACACTGCAAAACATTTGCCAGAATAGCTTTAGTTTGAAGTTATAATGAATTCATATCTACTGTTTTGGCTAGATAGACAGAACTGTATGATTTGAAGTATTTCAGAAACTCTTGTTTTTATTTATGTGTTGATCCTTGAAATAACTGGTAATTCTGGTGGTCAGGATTCTTGTCTGGTGAGCAGGAAGTCCAGGTTCAAGTTTCATGTCAATCATGTCAGCTGCATAAGTTATTTATATGTTTGCTTAAAGGCATATGACTACATGTTTACCTAGAGCTGTATAAATTCTCTTGTCAGGATTGTGGAGAAAAACACAAAGATATCTTTTCTTTACAAGTGAAAAAATTAGTTGTCAAAATTATTGCTTTTTTTTTTTTTAAAGCCAATCTATTTTAGAATAAATGTGAGGAAAACCTTAGTTACAAATGAGACCCATTTTGGGAAAAAATAAATTATTTTAGCTGAACAGAATTTCAAACTCTGAGCTCTCAAATGTTTACAAGTCTGATGTACATACCCTTGATGCTAAAGTGCTTGTTGAAGTTATAAAGTCAAGTTCACAAACATTAGGAAATAAATTATTTTGTCTGTGCAACTTTAAATATGAAATCAGTTTCACTCTTACAGGATTTTAGGCCCTTTGAATTCACTTTTTCAGCTTGGCTGTTTGTCTCCTATTTTAGTTGGTCCTGCCACTCTTTAACTGGAACTTGTTCCATCTTCCCCATCCATGTTTTTAACAATGTAGATTTGGCGATCCAGTTGGGTTTGGTCTCCTTTTAAAACTATATTTCTTCTTTTTTTTTTTTTTTAGATAGTGACTCTTAAAATTAGTTAATTAGTAGCTTTTTTATTTTTAAATAAAGCTTCATCTAAGGCATTACCTCAGCACACTTAGCATTCAGATGCAGAGTTAAAACAGAATGAAAAAATATGTTGTGTATTGGAGCTATAACATAATCTTTCTTCATAAGCTTCTGCAAATTCATGGTGGCCTGATTACCTTTGTTACTAAATTGGCCATTCTCTTGCTTCACTTTCTGATTTTTTTCCCAGCTCTGACAGCCTATCAGTAGTCTCTTCTAGATTCAGGTATTAAAAAAGTAATTTGTGCCAGGTTAATGAAGCCAGGACAACATATTCTTCAGTTTTTGTAGCTTTCTCCGTTGATTCTTGAAGGATTCTTAATGCTTTGTTGAAACCGTATTTTATCTTTGTTTTTTTTGTATCCTTCCATCTACGCAGTTACTTCTCCGTCTCTTTTGATTTCATTTCTTTCCATTGTATGAATAGAATCCAGGTAAATTGAAGTATGTAAGATAAATCCCTCATTCTCTGCAGTAACTTGGTATTTTTTCCCTTGACATCCCTGCTTCACTCAGTGCACAGACTGGGCAGTGTTCACTGAATGGGCAGATATTCAATAGAAATATTTTTTAATTCTCATCACTCAGCGTGAGTTCCACTTTGCAATTTAGTGTGTGCTGTTTTAACTTTGTTTAATGGAGCATTGTGAAGTCTTCCAGAAAATTTTTTGCATGACAGTAACCTTAGTATTTTAGGTTTCAGATATTTCGGTTCTTTTTTCCAGTCCATCATCTAAACTCCATATGAGCATTAGTGATATTATAGTCTGAATTTTACGTTGGCAAACTACGGCACAGTTGCTAAAAATATCCTCTTGTTTTGATATTAGAAGGATGCTTATTTGATTTATCAAGCCTTGGGTTTATGAAGATATACCATTTTAGACATCAGGGTAGTTTTCTATGCTGTGGAACTTAGGAATCTCACATACCCAACAGCTTTTCATGTTTTGTCCTCTAAACTCCTCCAACCGCACCAATCTCCATTTTGTCCTGTAATCCTTAGGGTGTTTCTACTGGGTAAAAAGCAGTGTAATCTTGCTAGTCTTAAATTAAAAGCATGCTACTACGTAAGTATCCTGCTAAACAAATTGCATCATGGCTGCGTTCGGTATGTCTTTCCATCAATGGAGGTGTTAACTTGAATGTACCTTCTTCCTGGTTGTGGTTTTATAGAACCTAGAAGCAGCTCCTTATTCCTGAGGTTTCTGCCCTCTTTTGGATTTGACTGAAGTTGAGCAGTAACTTCAAAAGTCATTCGAGCAGACACAGCATGATTGTACCCTTTTTTTAATGGATCTCTCCAAGATTTTAGAAATGTGATGTCTTTCTGTGAAGATCATATGTTTCTTAGCAGTTTATTGAAGAAGAACTCAATACGTTTACCACAGGTCCGAGTTGTAAATGTGGCATGTGTTAGCTGGCAGGGCTGGTAAAGCTGGAACCAGGACAGGGTTTCATGCAGTCATCTCAATACTGGTACTTACTAGGCATCACACTCTGAGCAGCTCTGCTATGTTGTTTTTGACTTTTACATTTCCTGTTTACCCTTTTGCATCAGTTCACCACTACCTCATTTTTGTGTCCCTTGCTTCTTTTTTTCTTTTCTTTTTTTTTTTTTGCTTTTAATTATTTTTACTCCTGTGTACAGCCTACACTGCTTTTAATCCTTTTCATAGAACACTTTGTGTTTGAGTCAGACCGGATAAGTGCATAAAATTTCTAGAACAGTGTCCTTGCCTTCACTTCTTTATTTGAATTGCATAATTGTTTATTAACTCTCTGTACTTTTCCTTGCAGCAAAGCAAGCAATGGAGCAGGGAAAATCTCCAATTATAATAGACAACACTAATACTCAAGCCTGGGAAATGAAGCCATATGTGGAAATGGTAGGTTTTTTCTTGTAATTATATTATCTGTTACAACTTTACTTTGCAAGCATACCTTACAATCAGTGACTTGTATGGCAATAATTCAGACTGATTTAAGGATTGATTAGATGTAATTTACCTAGCCTGGAATGAAAGCCGTGACAGGTTTTAGGGTAAGTGAAATCAGCATGTTACCTCTGTAAAGTCAACTGCATATGTTTATTATACTGCTCTGTAAACATCTTGTTATAGTCACTGCTATACAAATTTTATGTAGTAAACATACACATATCAGACATTTTTCTTTCCTTGCTTCAGGCTCTAGAAAAGGGATACAGAGTGGAGTTCCGTGAGCCAGATACTTGGTGGAAGTTTGATCCTGAAGAATTAGAAAAGTAAGGTTTATATTATAGTAGTTAATGTACTTTTACATGTCTGTATATATAAAAATATGTAACAGCTTTTATTTTATTCAGCATCTCATTGGTATAAATGCTTAACTGCAAATACAAAAATATTTGTTATTTAAATATGCATATTTAAATATACCTTTAAACAGAAGCGTTACAGGTGTTAACACAAACACACAGATAAGTAGATGTCCTGGCTTCTTTACCCATTGAAGTCAATATTAACATTTTGTTGAACGTGAATAGAAAAATGATTGACCCAGGTAGGAGACGCTGCTCGCATAATGAATAATTTAAGTTATTCTGAGAAATGTATTGCTGTAAAACATTATTGAGGCCATGAAATTTGTAGATGGCAAAAAGAGCTTATACGCTTTACAAAGAATGTATCAATATAGATGATTTATTCTGTCTACTTTTTACGTATACCTCAGTGTCAAAGAATAGTCCGTTTCTAATCAGTAAAGGTTAAAAAGCAAGTTCATATTTTCAGATTATGCCGTTGCAGGATTTTTTGAAACTGCACTCCCAATCTTTGAAGGATGTGACTTTCGGTACTGTTGGACACAGGTTATTGGTCCTGTGGGTTTTGAGAAAGCCTGTGAAGCTATTTAATATTTCTGGTTAATTTCTGTTTTGTCTCAGGTTTATCTGCTTTAGACATGTATGAAGTATAAATCCATCCTAGGGACATTTCATTGTTTGAAAGGTGGTGTAGTATTTTCATGAATGAACTCAAGAGTTCTCTTACTGATCATCATTTTATTTGCTCCCAACCGACTTGGCTCATAATTGTTCTCAGCATTGTAAAATTGCTCCTGTAAAACATGAAGCACTGTGTAGAATACTCACATTACTGACTTAGTCTTTATTATGTTAATACATTATAAATGTTAGTAAGTTCGTATCTTTTGCTTCTGAGCTACCACTAACTTATTATTAGAGATGGAGTCTTCTCGCTGCATGATGAGATCTACTAGAAGTTTTTCTAGTTTTGCGTGCAGCTCTGTAATCAGTCTTCAGTAATCAGACACTTCTAAGTTGTTTAGTGTGAGATTTCCATTGCATAAGAAAGATTCATATTTCCCATGAAAATGCATGTTTTCACATGGTCTTAACAGGTAACAAAATAAACAGACATGGTGTTATGTTACCATTGAATTTTATTGTCCAGTCATTAATTGTAGAAGTAAAGTTTATATGTTTACTGAAACCAAAAGAAAACCCTTTAACTGTGAAGTGCTTCTACCAATTCCTATGAGTATCCTAGAAGTGATGAAAATGTTTTAGCTATTCCAACTGCTCTAAATATTTGAAGGGAGGTCCCTTGTTGTCTAACTTAATTTACTGAGAGTTGAGGAAAAGTGCTGAAGTTTTGTTTTGTTTTGTTTTTTTGATTGCTTGAAGGAGGGTGTTTTTTTTTTTTAATGTTAGCATGTCTGGGAAGTAGATCATAATAATAAAGACATGATTGTAATCCTGGGATTCCCCTTATGAATTTTAAGCGGAACATTTTATGCAGTACTTGGGCAAATGCTAAGTTAATAAATTCAGGTAACTTTATTAAAATAGTCTGAAGTTGTAAGTTCTAATTCCCTCCTAACGGAATCAATTAAGACTATTTTTTTTTCATTCTGGGAATTGGAATTAAAAATACACCAGCTTCTACTTAAATTAGTTAGCATAGGATTTTTGTTATATTTTGGATACCTCTTCTTCATTTTTTTTAAGTGATGCTGTATGATCTATATCGATATTAACTTGTATCAAGTCGTATAATACACCAGTATTTTATAAGTCAGATGTATTTCAAGATGCTATTTCTTATAGGGATGTTTGTACCACCACTTAGTGTGTTTGAGACATCTGTGAAAAGGCTTCTTCAAAGAAAAAAATACTTTCTAGAGACAACACTAGGTGAATTCTTGATGTCAAAAAGTTGACAAATGTTTTAGCATGGAATAGATGTTAGTGGGGTTTTTTTGTTTTGTTTTGTTTTTCTTCCAGTATGTCTATGAGGTACAAATTATTTTTAGACTTGTGCATGATTTTGCTTTTAGTTTAGTTTTGTGCATGTAACTTGTGAAAGCATCTTGACTTCACATGCATATGTCTTGTGGCAAGAAACTTTTTGCTCAAGGTTTCCTGCATGTCATTTAGACCTTTATATAAAGGAATTTATGCTTTCAGAAATCGTTTTTAGGAAATCTCAAAAACTGCCACTCAGAGAACAAACAAGTGGCAAAACACCTGGTAGAAGGGAAAGGTTCTCAAGTGTTTAAGCAGTGTTGGAGGAAAAAGTTGCCATCGGTCAGGCTTGTATCTTTTCAGAGTAACAGCTCAGTTAGGAAGCAGAAAATCAAAAACAGTTGTACGTTTGATTCAGACTTCTGAGGAGTAACAGGTATCCTGTGTAACCTGTATTTTAGGACGGATGCTGTTTCTTTAAAAAAAAGAAAAAGTTAGCTGCTGTTTCTATATGCTGAAAGGTGAAATGTAAACATACTTTTTAATAATTTTTTCTTCAATATGATAATGAATCTGCAATTTGGAATTGACTTCATTGGACATGTGCATATTGTCTTCAATAATAATGTCCTTGTAGGATTAACTTACCAGTATATTGGTATGCTCTATTTGGTGAGATTCTTCTAGTGTAAAGACAGTTAATGGTGACAAAACTTCACTTTTGTGAATAGATTCTGTGTTCCTGCAAACAAAACAAGCTTCCAAAGCATAACTATCTATTAGGGGCTTATGCTGATACGTCTGTGTTTAAGAATGAGATGGCTTTATACTCTTTCAGCATAGCCATGCTACCAAAAGATGAGCGAAGGCATGCCTGAAGAGTACATTCTGGTATTAAATGACACAGTACTACAGTACTACAAATTTCCTGCATTTGTAATTGATTGCTATGCTTGATGTGATTTTGCCATTAGTGATTGTGTTATCCTGCCTTGTTCTTTAAGGGAAAGTACTAGCTTATTCTTGAAATGACTACACAACTGCATTCAGTTGTAGATGAATGTGTGCTTTGTTTTGTGCTCTTGAGCTATAATCTTTCTCCAGCAGTAGTGAGTTAAGGAGAATCTTGAATAACTTTGTGCTACTACCTGATGGCATGAAAGGACATATACTTCCTCTTCTCAGTTCCTATTTATCATCTGAGTCCCGTGCTTTTTGGAATCTCCCCATCTCTAGGGTGTAGCTTTTTTCTATACTGTTAATCTTGTTCATATTTGTGAATAGAATTAAAATTGTTAAGGTTAGCTAGCTAACCTGTTCAACATACTGCTGCTCCTGGATTTTTTTTTTGTTTTTACTTTAAGCAAGATGTAAAAAATTGCAACAATTGAACAGTGAAGCTGTTGAGATGCTCACTCTTGCTTCTGATGGTGTCTCAGGGAACAGCATGTGTGAGAGAAATACTCCACTTAAGTCTTTCCTTCCCAAAGAAGAAAGTTGCTAAAGTGCATCTCAAAGAGTCAGCCTATTTTTGAGTACTTCTGAGATCATCAGTTCTTCTACCATTCCAAATATGAAACTAGAGCATGCTCTTTGCAGTATGCATTGAACCCACATCAACTTGACATGTACTTTCTTGTTGGAATAATATGCCCAAACTCCTGAAAATAAAAGAATCAGTCCTTTAAAATGTTTCTCTGTAGAGTATCCTCTTTCCGAAGTAGCCTATTTGCTCCAGCTATTGATTTCTCCTTTATAGGAAGTGAGAAGGTTGGTAAGGGGGCCCGTGCCTCTTCTATCCCTGGCAAAAAGTGCAAAGAGGTGGATGTATTCCCTAGTGGCATGACTTACAAATAATTCAGCTGGAACAAGGTTTCTTGGTGATGAGAATATGTTGGGTTATGATAAGTGTTTGTCTACACTGTTGAAAGGTTCCATCTGTGATGTGTTTTTAATATTTATTCTTTGAGATTCAATTCTGTTAGACTACTGATAGTTCTCTGACCTACAGTTCATGCATGAACTTTGTGGGGTTCTTTTGGCAGTCTGAAATTCTCTACTAACATGAATTTTAAGATCCTGTTCCATAGGAGATAGATACATTCTAATGCCGAAACATATTTTTAATTGCCTTTTCCTCAGGTTCTTAACTGACCAAGCTCTTAGTGAAAGTAACAGCTGCTCACTAAACGCCTTGCAAGAGTAGGATAATTCTTCTGGCCTCTCCTCCCTTAAATGTGTTTTGGTATATTTCTAAATTTGCAGCAAGTAGCAATAAGAACACTTAGGTAAAGGTATCATGAGCATGCTGTTCTGGTCCAGAACTAAAATTGGTCCTTACTTTTAAAAGGAGGTTTATTGATGAGAAAAATAGTCCATCGTTAAGGTTTTGAAACTATATAGTCTTTTTTTATGCTAGTTTCAGAGTCTAATGGTAGCTTTCATAAGTTGTAGTCTCATCATTCATCCCTGTACTCGCTAGCTAGTATACCATGTGATATCTGATGAATAAATAGAAAACAGAAACCTTCTAGGACTTTTTATGTACCTCATCCTGGTGAATAACGTTGTATTTTTGTATAAACAAGAATGGCTGTGGTTTTTTTTATTATTTAATATGTACAATGAAGGATTCTTAAAAATAAACCTTAACACATGTTAAATACAGGAAATATGAGAATACAGTGTAATGAAATCTGAAATTTTAAGTGTTACAGCATTTTAGTTTCAAAATGTGTGCAATCACTGGACTTAATAATGTCTTCCAGTTTTATAAAGCTTCCTGCTAGGTAATGCAGGAAAATACGTCTGGCTCTTTCAGATATGAAAAGCAAGATAAAAATTGTGAAATTAAGAGTTCACTGAAATTTTTCTTTTCTCTTTTTTCAAAGACTGTAAACGTATAAAAATACTAGACAATTTATTTAAATTTTTATTTTTGTAGGAGGAATAAACATGGGGTCACTCGTGAGAAGATTGCTCAGATGCTGGAACGATATGAATATCAAATATCCATACCTATTGTCATGAATTCAGTGGTACCTCCTCACAAACACATACAAAAGCCACCTCTGCAGCGAAGACATAGGTGGGGAGGCAATACAGACTCGTGGAATTTTTTCAGTATTTTTGATAACCGATAACACAGCTTGCAGTCAGCTAATAAAAATATTACTTGCCCTTCCTAAATCTGCCTTCACTACTGGTAAAATAGTGAATCTTCTGCATTTTAAATAGGCCTATTTTAAGACCATTCCCTTCTGGGGGCTGTTTCTTTAACAGACTTGCATGTAAATAAAATTGTACATTAAATGTTTTAAAAATATATATTTATTACAGTTGTAATAACTTTGATTTTTAGTGACGTATTTGCAATAGTATGAAGTATAGCAGAGTCTTCCTTCATAAACCTACGACAATGATGTTGTCATATACCGAGTAACTGTTGAGCAGTTTTTTAAAGAGGTCATACTATTACATCTTTTAAACAGAACTAAAGCCCAGAAGGTTATTTATGTAATATCTAATTTTAATGGTTCTCATTGCTTTTTAGTCTCCTAATCTTTTGCCAGATTTTTTTAATATACAGTTCTTTCTAGGATTGCTGGATGTTTTTGTTTTAATTAGCATCCAAAGTGTAGGCATGTATTTTTCTCTTTCTCTCTCTCTCTCTCTTTCTCTCTTTCTCTCTCTCTCTCTCTCTCTCCCCCCTCCCCTCCTTTTTTTTTTTTTTTTTTTTTTTGTCTCCGAAGCTCATCTGGTAGCTGAAGCAACATTCTGCCAGTGCAGTACTCACCAGCCTGAAACTGTGTAACCTGAATTATTTTTTGAGGTTTCTTTTTCATTCTATGTAGTAGTATATAAAATATGGTGCTGCCTGCACACCAGCAACATTTTTGTGCTAAAAATGCTAAATTTTCTAATCACAAAAAAAAATTCATGCCTCTCTTTCTGAGCCAATTTTTCACATTTATCATAAAAATGACACACACCGCGTTAGCTTGTTAACCCCCAATCCACAGTTGGGATGAAGCAATTCAGTAAAACCAGGGACGCAGTTCTGTAAAACCACATTGCATTCTTAATTTTGGCATACCTAATGTAATCTGTTTAGCACATATCAAAATATGAGCCAGCATGGAGATTGACTTATTGCCCTTTTTCTCTTAAAAAATGAAATCAGTAAGATTTCACTTTGCTTGCTTTCTAACTGCTTGCTGTATTAATAAAATATATTTGTCTTCATTGTTGTTTTAGTTCAATGTAACAGTTTATATTATTTTTAAGTATTTATGATTTTATGTACATGAACATTATTACTAACCTATGAGCTAAAATAATCTGTCTTTAGGCCTATAGGCCTACGTTCATTTTTCTTATACACTGAATGAATAAGTCTTGAATAGGAAATTTTGTCAAGAACATGCTGAAACAGTTTTCTTTTTGTGTGTGTGTGAGGGCTTTAGATTTTTGAAAATTCTACAGCCACCATAATTTTTGTTTTCCTTATAGACAGCTTTTGAATGGGCCCCAAAAAATTACTTCATTTTAAGTCTGAATAACAAAAGTTGAAGATTCAGGTATCTAATGAAGTATTTTTCTGTGGTTGTGTATACTACTGTTCAAGTCTAAATTTGTACAATTTAATGTATATGTAAAATAATGTTTACGTAAGACTAGCTATAAAAGTTGAAGTGTAATTAAGTAAGTTTGATTAATTGAAAAATAATTTTTGAAGCTTCAATAGTGCATGCATTGTTACTATATTCAGCTACTGTGTATTTAAAAAACAAAACTTTCCAACTATATTAAATATCTTCCCTTACTGTATATTATTTATACCAGTTCTGTTACTACTTTTTAGTTTTCTTAGTCATCTCTTTCCACATTTCAAGAGAATCATAGAAATCATTGTAAATCCTTAGTAATACTTTAATTTTCCCAGAGTTTTTATTTTTAAACGTGAAAGTGCATTTCATGTGTGAGGAACATAGAAAGTTTTTTAGAGAGATTCATTTTATTTGCTCATACCTATATTACTTAAAGCCATAGTAAAGTGATAAAATTTATTGAGGCTTTACATAATGTTTACACAGTCTGCTAAGACAAATGACAAAAGATGACAAAGGAGCTGATTGTTGGAATTCAATGTTATGGGTTTTTTTCGGTAGCTTCCATCCTTTAAAGTTTTTAAAGGAAGCTGATAATTTTTTATACTAGTATTTAATTGATATTTAAGTTATCTTTAAATTTTTTTTAATTTAAATAGATGTGAATTGTTACTAGTTTAAAAAAATGCAACATTTTTGTGTGTTACCTGTTAATAAGTTATTGATGGAAGGTGAGTCTGTTTGATATGCAAAGCATGTTGCTCAGTGTAGGCGAGCTATTTACAAAGGGTACCTAACAAAAACAGAATGCTTTACAGCTTGGCACTGTATCAAACGCTTATTATAAACTGCTTAATCTTATAAAGCTATATTCCAAGGTAAGTACAATGACATGGTAAGTGAAAACACGAAGGAATTACTGTCTGACTGTGTCATACTTGGTCTTTGTTTTATGGTGTATTCGTATTTGCTGAGGATATGGCAGTCATGGTTTAAGCTACTGGCTACAGATATGGATATCCCTAAGAGAGAAATTACTTTGTTGTTGTCTGTGGAGGGCATATTGTGTTATCCAACTTATATGTAAGAATAACAAAAAAAAGGGGGGAGGGGCTGAAATACACATTGCAGGTATTGAATTTATCGCACTACCTCACAAATGACGTATTTTGTCAACAATTACATACCAGAAATGTGAGAATTCCTTGTTCAACTTTAAATTTGGGATCTAAATATTTCTACTATCTGGCATAGTGTTGATGCAGTACGCCTATCGACTTCTCACACGTAGTCGTAACATGTACCTGGAGTTAAGGTTTTCTATTTTAATTTTGTTTGTTTGTTTTGGTAAATTGCCAGTTCTTAGGATTTCATGAATTAACAGTGTCAGGATTTCATGAATTAACAGTGTCAGGATTTTCTTGTGTAACTAACGCATAGAACCGTAGTGTTATGACTGTAAATTGTAAATACCTGCTGCATACCTCAAAAACTGGCGAGATGGTAAGTAACTTTAAACAAAGTAGTTATAACACCCAGCTGTAGTTTTAACATCCCTCTTTTTTTAAGAATGAAATTTAAATCAGAGTTAATTTGCAAAACATCCCTAGTTTGGTTCAGATAGCTGACCAGTTAGCATCAGCTGTGTGGGATTATTGTGTAACTAAAGAAAAAAGCTTCAGTCTTACTGCTTCCTCTAAACTGCTGTTTTCTGTGTTTATTTCCTGAAGTGTTACAGGTTTTCATCAGCCTTGTCTATGACAAATGATTTAATGTTCTTACTTTTCTTTTATTTGAAAAAAGTACCCATATTTTTTTCTTTTTAGTGAATGATGAAGTTAAATAGTCTTCTGTTAGGAACTCTGTCTTCTGTTCTGATAGTTATGTCCTTTTCAGTCCATTTTAATCTGATTGACCATGATACGTGATTTTTTTAAGCTTTTATTTAAAATTAAAGAGGAAAGCCAAGATTTTATCTTCGATCTTCTGTGTTCTGTCTCTTGACGGACAATGTCTCTTCTATCGACATTGTAGAATTTTTTCTTTATGTTTCTCTGCTAATAAATAACTGAAAATCAGGCTTTGTCTAGCTGAGATGAGACCCATAACGTTTATATTTGATTGTTTTCTGTCTCCCTCTTTCTTAAGTAATTTAAACTCAGTATTTTCTTTTTTGAGCTAAACACTGTGTTTAATTTTCAATAAATGAGAAAAAAAAATGTACTTCTGTACTTCCACATTCATGTGTGGCAGGTGTATTTTGAACGCCTGTTCCTTCCTAGAAATTGAGTTTCCTGGAAGAAACGCTTTCCTTCTGTGTGGCACATCATGGGGGTGACATAACCAGGTATAGGGTGAGAACTGAGGGCTTTCCATGTGAAAGAACAGAGGGGCTGTATTACAACTCCCACTAAGAAGCAATAAGAAGACATATAGTGTTGAAATGGCAGTTTCTAAAATCGGAATTAATATTCAATTTAAGAGTGTTCAGATAAATGTTAGCTCAGATATATGGAAATATTTCACTTCAATGTTTCTATATTGATGCTTTTTCATTTCAATATTTTATTTTCTCATACTTTTGAATTAAAAGTGCAGCGTAAACCTGAAATTTTTTTGTTAGATGCAATCTCCTTAGTAATAATTTTTTAGGTGACATACTACTTTTGCATCAGTTCTGTTTTACTTTTCATAAAGCTAAATGGAGGAAATTTGCTGTAAATGAGATTATTTTCAGTACTCAGAAAAATATGTGAAGAAATAACCAGCTGCTCTTTTAAGTATTTAGGAGATGAGGCAGCCACTAATGGGGGCTGTCAGGGTCAATCACTTCAAATTTATCTAATGTATTTCTGTAATAGGGGAGAAGCAACAAGTGGCATTTTTTTCTTCGGTAGGACTATGACTGCCATTATGGATCAATCATAATAAAAGTATTAAGAAGTATTGGGAAAGTATTAAGAAGTATTGGGCCTGGAATGGGTCTTTGCAGCTTCCTTTTATTTAGTAGTGCAGTTTCCCCAGAGAGCTAGTTCTTCATTTTCCAGGTGGGCGGTCCTTGACCATTTAATATATACCTTACTGATACATAATGCTGTTGTAACAATGCCATGTTATGCCAAGTCACCATGTTATGCCAAGTCACGTTTTGTATGTATGACCTTTGTTGCTGTTGTTGTTGCATTGACAGTCTTTTTAATAGCATTAGATGTTTTTCTGATTTTGAGCTACTAATTGAGTTCAGCATCAACTTTTCTCTTATTGGCCCTCAAACCCATATCAGACTAACTTCTCTTTAATTATGTGAGTCCTCCTTTTTGTTCTTTTCAAATATTGGCCCAACATTAATAAACCTTGGAATACTTAGGAAATTAAAACATAGGAAAAATATTTTCTGAACCGTTTTTTTTGGAGCATGTAGTTGCATGTTACCTTACCCTATTGATTTAAAAAACGTGAATTCATGAGTAGATGTTGA